ATTTTTCTTATTTTTACGAAAAATATTAATTTTACAAAAAAATAATGTATTACCTTATTTTTTGTTCACATTTAGTTTTATAAAAATTGTTCTTTGTGTTTTTGTCGAAACTTCAAAAATAAAGAGCGTACACTCAAAAAAAGATAATCCACCCCATTTTTGAAGAACTTCAATCCCTTTGAGACACGTGAAGAGGTTGACTTATTGTACTCAAATTTTACCAGTTTCATTTTTTCAGTGAACCTAACGAAATTTTGAGCCTATGACTTTGAATTTATGAAGTCGAAAAATAAAGACCACCCTAATAAATATATATAATATTGATGACAAGCATGCGTGTACGTATACGATAACCAAAAATAAATTTATACAAGAATAGTGGTGTCGACGTACGGTGAGGGCGGCGTGGGGTGGGGTGAATGCGTTACGATAGTTTAGTCTCACGACGGAATACGCTTAAATAATAACACGTGCGCGTGAAGAGTTACTTTATACAAACATACAGGTGAAACTAATATAAGCGTGTTAATATTATTTACATACATGTTATTCGCATGCAATCGTCATCGCGTCCGTCCTGTTAATTTTTAACCTCGATTTGTTTTTTTCAAATTTCCCGGACTTGCTCGAAAAGTAATTGTCAACCCCTGGTTCTNCTCAGAAAGTAATTGTCGACCCCTGGTCTTGATGCTTGCCTGGTAAATACTTTATATACAAGAAAAAGAGGCTTTCGTTCCCACGATTAATATATACTATTAAATTTCACAATAACAATTAGGCAGAAAAAAGCCAGTTCATAAGAACAGGTACTATGTTAAAACTAAGATAAACATAAGTATAGATAAAATTTTAAATCAAAGTTTGAACAAATACGATATATGTTTTGACCACGTTTTTAGTTCTATTTTTTGCTTAGCATGTTTTTACTTTTATAACATATTTTTTATATATTATAATTATGCTTCATGTAGTTTGAATTACATAAATATAATTGATATTAAATATTTAAATTTATCAAAATAATGACGTAGTGAAAAATTATTTTCTTTTTTAATCGACTTGATTAATTATTGGACTCAAAATTTGGCATACTTATTTAAAATTATTATTATGCTATTAACCATTTTAGAGAGATGGAATTTTAATTTAGATATTAAATGATGCAGACTTAATATTATTTAAAATAAATTAAAATTTTACATCCTTCATTTATAAATAGAAATAAAGTTAATTAAATAATAAAAAATTGACTTCTTTAATTAGAATTACAATACATATTTAGTCTTCAATAAAATGTCGTAAGAAAATTTAAAACTTCTATCAAACATACCAATAATTTCTGTTAACAAAAAAAAAATAAATTTAATGTAGTAAAAGCTTGAATAATTTATACCAAAAATAGAATAAACCGAGATAATAAACAACATACATTTTTAAAATGCAATTTATTTACAATACTAATAGGTCATAAATAAAGCCGGATTCCCACGACTGGTGTACTTGCCAAATATTTGTCACTTGTGTATACTTGTCAAGCCGTCGGAACACTATACTTGTACAATTATTGGTCACTTGTCAGTTTCCCGCAGATTGTCGGTATATGTAACACAAGTCAAAGGAATTAATGGCTTAACAAGTTTACACTTGTAGTTCACTAGTGCACACTTGTGTACTTGTCAAATACTTGTCCAATATTTGATTTTAGGGTGGCTATCGGTAACACAATTTTTTCTTCCCCACCCACCTATATTTGTACAGTATAGCGGTGGTTGGCCTAATTAGTAAATTTAATTTAATAGATAAGTAAAACTATTTTATAGTATAATTGTAAATATAATTTAATATTTAAGATTGATTACATAATGTATTAATTATATTACTTATTAATTTATGAATATTAAGTATAAAATAAATATTATTGGATAGTTTAATATTTTACTAAAATGTTTATATTTGTAAAATTCTGTTTCATTTTTGCAAGTAAAAAATTATATACGGTGCCTAGCTGAAACACTATTAGTTTTACTCATTCGTATTNCTAGCTGAAACACTATTAGTTTTACTCATTCGTATTTTTTTTCTTTAATTTTTAGGGAAATTAACCTCCTTAAATTTGCTTTAATTGCTATTGTTCATGTATACCGAAAACAAGATTAATACAGTTTAGTACTGAAAAATATTTTATAGTAATAGCATTTTCTATTTTATAAAGCTATATT